CCTGCTTTATCCTACGATTGCACACTCTTGATTTAATGACATTTTTCGTGCAATTAACACGCTCAGTAAATGGGGCAGGCTGCAGTCGTTCCGGTCCGATAACGCTGATACTGCTTGCAGAAGAAATGCCAAATGCACTTACGCCGGGAGCAGTTTTCTGCTTATAATGTGCAGAAAGTATGACGTTCTTAGAAGCAAAACTTACGTGTGGAGAAAACAGATTTGTGCCAATGCAGGGAAAGCTGGAGCGGGCGAGGGATGGGTCGGCCGGGTGCGGCAGTTAAGGGAGAGAAGCAAACTGGCATGGAAATTTGGCATGGAAATTTTTGTAGCTGTTGTCCTCAGGTGCCTGGTTCCGATAGCCGGTAAATTGTTCGTTTCATTTTAAGGCTTAAGCCAAAGTTGCTTTTATTAAAGGCAGAAAAGGATGTGTAAATGTTTGAAAAATTTCCTGTGTTGTTCCTAAATTCAGCGGTTAAGAACAGTTTGAAATACAAAAGAAAACCAAATAAACGTGTTTTTGTTCGATAGCATTTTGAAAACGATAGAAAAGACGTGCAAATTTATTTTTCTGTTTGGGATGGGAGGTAAAATTTACGGACAATATTGGTAAGAAATCCCTGGCAATGTTTCCGTGTGGGGAGACGCTTTTATGTGGGACTCTGCGTCGGTTTTTCACATATTCGCTCGCTGTTTGTGGGGATACAAGGATGAAATCCTGTCTTCGCTGAAGTCAGTAGCTAAACCCAGTAATTTTGTCAGGCTGTGGACTGTAGTTTGTTCCCCTCCGTTAAAAAGGCAATAGAAAGGCAAGTGGAGCGGTGCGTATGCTTAAGAGATCCGGCGTGTATTTTGCTGACGGTATTGCCAGAATCCCTTTACCGTTATTACCCTCCCGGAGACTTAAAATTCCCAGTTGGGTACCAGCTCTGACAAGGAAGCAGATTTGAAATGAGCCCCTTTTGCCGTGGTGTAACGGGGAGGTGGCACTTTCCCTTCTGCTGTACAGAAGCCGGGGAGAGCTTTAAGTGTGAGCGCTGCGGCAAGGTTTTTGCCTACAAATACTACCGGGACAAGCACCTCAAGTACACTCGCTGCGTGGACCAGGGGGACCGCAAATTTCCTTGTCACCTTTGTAACCGATCCTTTGAAAAAAGAGACAGGCTGAGGATCCACGTTCTCCACGTTCATGAAAAGCACAGACCTCACAAGGTGAGCCTGCTCCTGGGTCTCTCCGCAGTTACTGGCTCTTCTGGGGGGACTAATTAAGGAGTCCTTTTTTGGCTGAGGTAAGATGCTGATGTTGTTCCCCCTCCCCCAGTTTCCCTGGCAGTTCCCTGGTGGGACCGTTCTGCCCGTAAAGGAAGAGTTTGCCGTGTGCAGCAGAGCTTAGTTGAAGAAATTTAATGGATTTATATTGGGGAAAATAAACCCCACAGTCTCAGTGAGAGTTTGAAAAAAACCCCAATATTTCTCCTGGGCTTTTTGGATGTTTGCATGTGCGGTTTGCTACTTTTCTTACACGGTGTGGGGCTAAATTGTGTATGAAGGTGCTCCACTTGTTCAGGATCAGGAGAGACGATGTCTCATGGCCCTCACTCCCCCCCTTCCGTCTGAGAACCGACAGACATCTGTGTCTGTTGGACACAACTGGAGTTACAAGTTTTACATTCAACATGGAGCAGATTTTCAATTGGTGGAAGCAAATCCTTGCTGAGATACCTGCCTCATCTCCACTAAACACCTCTCTGTAGCACCGTTCCTGGTTTTCTCCAGGAACACTGGCGGTGGAAAATCGGACTTTTACTAAAGGTTTGGGAAGGGCAAGTTCCAGTGCTTCAAATGGCGGAGTTAAATCAGTCCTGAAAATCCTCCAAACACCTCTTTTATAGATAGTTCTGGAATAATGTGAATTTTTCAGGAAAAGCTTTTATAACTACATCAGCAATATTACGATGTCAGAATATCACACTGATTTAGTAACAGATGAAAAATATAATTCTGTTAAATATGAAGTATTAAATAGCATGTAAATACCCTTTTCCTTTCCTTTTCCTTTCCTATTCCATTCCATTCCATTTTTTGGAATGCATATGAAAGAAACACTTTAGAACAGCAGGAAGACAAAACTTCTGAATATACTGCATTTATATGAGAACAGATCAACTCAAAAAGCAAAGATGGAAAATGTGTCAGTAAAAAGAAATTGCCTTCTTTCAAGCTCAGTCATAGCTTAGCTTATTTTCAACTTATGAAAGATAATTTCTTTCAAATTATTGTAGGGGGCAAATTATTTTGAGGCTCGTACAGATTGCACTGAATCAGTGCAAGTCTCTCAGATGACTTCATCCCCCTCTGAACTGGGTTTTGTCTTGTCGCTGCCGGCCGCAGGGCGCTCGCCACACTGCGAAGACGGCAGGTCCTTGGCTCCGAGGACGAAGTGCTGCTTGTTTCACTCCTAAGGAGAGGCACTAATGACAAATCAAGCTGTAGGCTAAGTGCTGTGACTGACTCATCATTTCTGAAAAATGGTTACTATTTTAAAACGTCCCCTTAAATATTTTTTTTAGGAAGTTTATCTTATTTGTTGAGCAAAAATTCAAAATAGCAACTAGAGCTTCATTTGCATTTTGAAGAAAAAGGGATGATTTTACAGAAATGTTCAGGTTTTGATTACTGAAAGTCAGTATTTTCTGTTAATGTTCTGAAGAAAGATGCTTTTTAATGAAACATTTTTAACATGTGCACAAAAAAACTTTGACATTTTGCATTATTTCCTTTTGTTAAAAAAAATCTGTTCTTAAAATCAGATTGAAATTCTCACTATTTCCAATTGTTACTGCTTAAATTGCTACTGTGTTTGTATATACATAAAAACATAAATATCTGTATATAGATAAATCTATGTATATACATAAATATACACATAAATATATGTAGGAAAATACATGCACACATCATCCACGTACCTAATTTTTCTTTTTAGCTATGCTGTTGTGTGCTTCCTTTAAACTTTATCCTGTTTTTTTCCCCAGTGCTCAGTGTGTGGGAAGAGCTTTTCTCAGTCCTCCAGCCTGAACAAACACATGAGGGTTCACTCCGGGGAGCGCCCCTACAAATGTGTCTACTGCAACAAGGTAAGGCAAAGCCCCGTCCTGTCCCTCTGTCTGTCCTCTGCTGTGCTCAGCATTACACCACACCTGGGGGGTGGCTCTTGCCATGCTGCTATTTTCTTTGTTCAATTTTTCTGTTTCTTTTCTGTTTTCTTTCAAGAAAATGCCTTCTATTTAAAGTTGATAACCAGATAAGTGAGTATATATTCTGGGCACAGTTGTGAGTTGAAGTGACAGGGCTAGCTGAGACTGAAGAAACAGGGTCTGGTCTCCATCTGATGCGGAATTTGTGTTTCATAGAATCACAGAATCGTAGAATAGGTTGGGTTGGAAGGGATCTCTAAAGGTCATCTAGTCCAACCCCCTGCCGTGGGCAGGGACGTCTTCAACTAGATCAGGTTGCTCAGAGCCCCGTCCAACCTGACCTTCAATGTTTCCAGGGATGGGGCATCCACCACCTCTGGTTTCATCTCAGCTCAGAGAACTATGGCGGGGATAAGGTCTAGGAAAGCTTGAGAGCATTTCAAATATCATCCAAGGCATGCGGCTAGATCCAATATTCCCCCTTTTCATCAGATAGGCAGTTTTTGATGTTACTGACGCTGCTTCTGGAGTGCGGTGAACAGATTTGGCCCATAAGCTGAACCTGCACAGTATGACTGTGCATGCTTACCTTGAAGTAACGGGGCAATCGGTGTGCAACTGGGCATGGAGGTTTCATCTGAAAAAGAACGTGAATAGAGCCGTTCAGTACTGGTCAAAAATGTGCTCGGCTATTACTACGCTTCACAGCAGGGATGATTCAGGTGAGCTCTCCCTGTGAGAGCAGTGACAGCTCTCCCAGCAGACGGAGGGTGGATGTACAGGCTGCTGCTGGATGAATATCGGTAGGGCTCCAGGTGCTATGGAGTGTCCATGCAACGCAGAATCACCGTCAGCATGTAGTAAGGTCCTCCTGACTTTGGAGAGAGAGAAGTTTTGTTCATGACTGGCTGGACTAACACAGAGCTGAAGTGTTCTGTAGTAAAAAACCTTAGAAGAAGCTCCTTTTGGCTATTATGTCTTTTTTCTCTCCCAGACATCCTGAACACTTGTAG